GCCCAAAAAAGCCCGGTCTGAATAGGGTTATGAACAGTACTCTCCAAGCTATTAACACTGAGTTGCTGTGTATGTAATCAAAATGTGCTTAACAAGTAGTTTATTGTCCTGATCACCACGTAAGGCTCTTGCTATCCTTGTGGGCCAGATGGTTGGTTGTTACAGAAAGTCTTTCTACGGATCACTGCACCACCTGTAAGTTTGGACAGATTTAATCAATGGAGGAGAAGGTTCCTGCGTTTGGTAATGTCTGGAAATTTGAACCATAAGGACCCCGGTTATTATATTTCAGTCCATACCACATGGTGTTCTCTCATGTTTCATGATTCAACTCTGTCATTTTTTAGCCAAATGACCTGAAATTCGGCATGGAGGTAGAGTGGGCCAATACCCCCAGGCATTTTTTTCATTTTTTTATTTGCCTTAGAAAAATTTTTATGAAGGTTTTTTGGGGCATTTTTCGACAAAAAAAAGGATTTTTGGATCCTGAGCCCTGGTTTTACAACCAAATGATCTGAAATTCGGTGTAAGGGTACCTTAAACATGTGTCTACAGAATAGCAGTCACATATTTGGCATACACCACTTCCAAATGACTCATTTGGGGGACTTTAATTTCTATGTTTCAGTCAGAATCTTTTTATACAGCATTATCTGGTGCAGTTAGAAGCGCGAATTCCCACTGATCGACGTGTGTGCGGGTGACATAATTTATCCCAGATTCAAGCTATAAATCGCTTGTAAAAACCTTAAGGGTTTACATTTTAAGACCCATATTTACATGATAGCAAACAAAGCAAACTGGTTGGCAGGACTATTATAGACAATGTTTTAGGTCATTGACCTAGAAGTGTTCTTCTTGTTGTCTGTCTGGTTCTTAAAAAAACACCACATGCAAATAAAACACACGTAATAGACAATCTAAACTCTACTTTATATAGACACAATCATTACGTCCACACGTTTACAGTGACATCCATAAGTCTAAGTAGCGTGTAGCGTGCGTAGTCCAGTGGTTAGCGATCCTGCCTCTGGACTAAAGGTTGGGAGTTCAAATCCCGGCTGTTGTCGCTCGCCCGACATGTACGCTACTTTAAGGGTCGCTGTCCTTGGGATGGGACGTTAAGCCGCGGTCCACTGTTCATTGTGCTTGTCGAAAAGAGCTAGGGAAATTTCCTCGGTACAATGAACCTGTAAATACTGTACATAGCGTCTGTCTTCTCTGTCACAACAAGTGGAAGAGTAGCTCTTCAATGAGCTAAACTGGTTCGAGATCACTTTTACTTTCTTAAGTGCATGTGTATATTTGACCTACTTACCAACAAGAGGGTGATCAGCGAAAAGAGTGGGAAATGCTGTCGTCTTGATGAATAGACTAAAAAAACAGTTAAACTGTCTCGAGATCACTTTCACTTCCTTAATTAAGTACATATGTATATTTGAGCTACTTACCAACAAGAGGGTGATCAGCGAAAGTGGAAAATGCTGTCGTCTTGATGTATAGATTGATGAATAGACTAAAAAAACTGTTAAACCGGTTAGCCTACGTACGTGTCCTAAGTTGTATGCTTTCGCATGTGATTGGAAGATTTTCTTTCGTCACTGTGTTTTATTTTGTATTTAGGGCACACCGACTTAATTTTATGGATGACATTCTCTGAAGACCCCCAAACTAGTGCGTGCGGGCGAATAAAAAAAAAATGCTACTAAACCACAGAAATACAAAGCTGATGTTGTGAATTTGCGGCAGTACATAGCGACGTATACGACAAGCCGACACATGTTGGCTTTTTGCGGAATTTATGAATCGGCACTATACGCATGTACTGAGTTCTTGAGTCGCGGAGATTCGCCTTTGGTGCCATCCTCCAGAGGTACCACCAACTCGGTATTGTCGCTAAATATCATGGACTTCCCAGGCCTAGAGCCATGCAGGGCAGAGCCTCGGAGGACGTGATATATATATTTTTTGTTGAGAACAGGCGAAAATCAATGCGCGCGCGGATGTCATCCATTTTATTAAGTCGGTGTGGCCTTATGTAGCTCAGGGGATGCTCTGATTTGGTTGTCTTGTTTTGTGCCCGATTACCTGTTATAGATCGAGTCTAACTGCTGATAAACAGCTTTAGAACGGCACAGTAGCGGCCGGTATACGTGTATACACCATTTTACCAACGGAGATGTGATTTTTACGGTTCTCGCATCTGCCTTGTACATATCCTAGACCGCCTAATACTTCAGGCAGCTAGCAATTAGCACGGCGGTCTGTCTCTACGGCATTCTTTCCCATTGTTAGGGGCTTTCGAAAACGTATCGGGTTACAATTAAGGTCGCAGAACACAGTAATTATGACGCAGGTATAGAAAGTAGTGCAGAAAAACCTCTTGCATCCTGGCTAAAGCGACTTATGTGAGAGGTAGCCATGAATGAACTGCACTGTGTGGTAAGGAAAGGTATCGGCTTGTACACAGTATGAGTTGGATTGTGAAGATTTCCCTGTTCGTGTATAAATGCGCGGCATTACGCAACCACGTTCCAGGGTGAGCCGGCTGCAGTTCCGTTGACCCCGGTAGAGGGCCAAATCAAAGTGGTCGTCATTATGTTAAAAACGATAACTTTTTTTGGTTTTCAGTTATTTTGTAGAATATACCGTATATTTCAATATATTAGTTGGCCGTGATTCAATAGTGCACCCTACTATAATTTTTACCGCGTCGAAGTGAGTCACCTTGGGGTGCTTAACTATAGGAATCCCCATAGGCCGAAAACTGTGTTCTGCTACCACAAGAAGACGCAATTTTCGGCATACTTTTAGGAGGGCCTGCAAGGGGGGGGGGGTATTGATTACAAATTACGCCAAATTTTCGCCGCCGATTACGAATTACGTTAAATTCTCAGAGCTGATTACGAATTACGTTAAATCATGAGGATTCCCGACCGTCTAAAACACAGCAACTAGTAGTTCTACGTCAAAACTATTGCCTTTGTGTTGGTTAGCGCATAGGCGGTAGATCCAGGAGTTTTTTTTGGAGTGAAGACAAGTTCTGGCCAACCCGAAGACACAACCTGCCTGAACACCCCAATATCCCCAATCACGATCAGACTGGATACCAGGCTACTTTCAAATGATGTACAGAAAAGATTCACATTGCTTCTGAAAACATAGTATCGACTGGTTTGCATGCGGATGTTTGCGAGGGTAGGGCTAGGTGTTTCCGCAATAGGTAATAAATGATGTGGTTTGAAGCAAAATAGCTATTTTCTGTAGCTTCTATGTTCATTTTGATGTTAGGAAGTGACTAGACGGGTAACGTATTGATGCTCTTGATTTATTCTTATAATTCTTTTACGTAGCGTCGGGTGGGAAAAGAGAAGGTGAAGTTCGAATTTTGGCATTCTAACGACTTTTAAACGTATTGCAGCGGCATTTTGTACCGTTGATTTTGCTTTGTCGTTATGTTTGTGTGCTTATTTGTCTGTTACTTTGTGTTATGTTCTGTGCAACCAACGTACCATTCAACCGTTTGAGACGACATTGGTCACAATAGAAACACTATTTCCATGATGCAGTTTTATTTATCAATTTAACACAAGTAATTTGCACACTACATTCTTTAAACAATGTGATACAAATAAAATAAAAATGTCTGACATGTCAAGTTGGAGGTTGGCATAAAATTTCTGTTAACATGTACCATGTTTTTGCAAGTATCCATTATTTACATTTTTTCTGTTTAATATCTCAGCTCTTTTAAATATAAAGGAAATGTACAATGTAATTCAAGACCACATAACAGATTACTTTTCAGAAGTAATTCTAATCTGTAAGTATAGAGAGGTTAAGATCGTAATGATAATTGGTTTCGTAAGTTTTCTAAACAAATGTGAAAGTTTATTGCAAATTCATGCCCGAGGGCTAATTGCAAGAACATGACAACAAGAGTAAACAGTAAAATGATAATAAGTAATGCTAATGCTACTTTATATATACATTTGTAGTTATTGTTGGGTTTGATTTCTTTTCCGTGTGCGGTGGAGTATGAAATGGCCGACATTTTGCGAGATATATGAATTGGGAGGTGTTAATAGAAATGCAGTTTTTTGTAGGCTGGGAAGGTGAATAAAGCTGGGGAAAATTTTGGTGACTGTTTCAAATAACTGATCTCTTTCGGTGCTATAATGAGGGCAGTGACAAACAAGAGTTTCACGATCTCATACCTTCGCCAAATGATGTTAACCCTTGTGGTTGACAAATTATACAATTTTAATCATTGATTTTGTAAATAAGAGCCCCATTTGCATGGATTATATCAGTTGATCATATTCTCCACCCAATGACAGCCTTATCTTAACAAAAATGCTATTATAGCACTTCCTCATAAATTATGCAAATTAGGCCATGATTTGAATAAATTATGTTTGTTGATGTTCACCTTCACTTAACTTCCAACTATGAAGTATGAAATGCTCAGCAGTTACAACTATGAAATTATAAAAATTTGCCATTTATTATGCAAATTAGGTCCTCATTTACATAATCTATATCCTCAGATGTTTTTTCTCGTTCTCACAAGTGATGTCACAAGTGTTTCATAGTTCTATTATCGAACAAAGCAGATTTATAGAATTTCCTCATTAATTATGCAAATTAGCTCCTGATTTGCATAATTGTCATCTGATCATGTCAAGCATCACTTCAACCAAAAATCACGACAATCCGTCAACCGGTTCTTGAATTATTCTCCTTCGAAAAATTTTCAACAAATGCTCCTGCAGTTCCAGAACAAGCCGCTAGGGGACCCAAACTCATGTCACTTCTTCCC